AGGGAGAGGGAGAGGGAGAGGGAGCGAGACCGGGAACGGGAACGAGAAGAGGAAAAGAAAAGGCACAGCTACTTTGAGAAGCCGAAAGTGGATGATGAGGTGAGATGTGGGCTCTTGATACCAGGCTGTGAAAACTGATCCTAGAAGTAACCTTTCTAGCCAGGAATAGGACCCATTTCCTCCTTAGTAGCTTTGAAGTTTCACAGTAATAACTGGCCAACTAACGGAGGGTGGGAACCATCTTGGAAATGGGGCAGATTTGAATTAGGGAATCAATTCAGATTTGAGGGAGAGCTGACTGGAAATTCCTCATAATGACACTCACTTCAGTTTTGTTTTCTTTTCAGCCCATGGATGTTGACAAAGGTGGGTTGTGTCTACAGCGTTTTGGATTTCTCCAACAGTCTACTCTACTTGCAGAACCCTGCTGCTCTCAGCTGATGAAGGCGGCATTTGGGGGACTGCCTGGTTTTGGGCTCTCATAAGAACTATGTCTTAATTTATGGACTAGGCAGGGCACATTTGCTCTTACATATAATTTCTTCAGTTCTGAAGTTTTGAGGTTAAGCTGGGCATGAATATGGAGTTCTAGATATCCTAGCAACTAGAGTAGTTCATTAGTTGGCGTTTTGGTTAAAGTCTAGATAGATAAAAGATACTTTACAAGTATGTTTTAACTAGCAAGTTGTGGTTGTACTCACCTGTAATCTCAGCATTCTGGAGGCTGAGATAAGATCAGAAGTTCAAGGCCAGCCTAAACTCCATAGTTTTAGATCAGCCTGGGCTACATAGTAGCCTCAAATGTAAACAAAAAGTTAAACAAAACCCCTAGAACTACCACATTTATTTGATTCCTGGAATTAAACTCAGGTTGTTGGGCTTGATAGCAGGCATGCTAGCTATCTTGTGAGTTTCATAAAAACATTTTTAAGGCTGGAATCAGGTTAGTGGGAGGAGGTTGTAAAAATATCAGTTCAAGTCTAAGTAGAGTTTTATTTTCTTCCAGGACCTGGATCTGCAAAAGAGTTGATCAAGTCCATCAATGAGAAATTTGCTGGGTCTGCTGGTTGGGAAGGCACTGAATCATATCCTGTATTTACATTTCATCCTGGGTTTTAATTATTCTTCCTTATCTATATTGAAATAGCATCTTTCTCTGTAGCTTAGGCTGGCCTATAACTTGAGATCCTCCTGCCTCTGTCTTTTGAGTGCTGAGATTGACATGTGCTATCTTATTCCTAGCTGTTTCTGGGTTGTAGAGTGCCGTTTTCTTTTCATCTTCCTCCAGTTGTTTCTCTGTTCCTGTCTTTGCTCTCTTTTATGCTTTGTTTTGGCTAGGATGAAATGCTATGTATCAGCCAGAGATCCAAGGCTTATACCTGGCTTTTGAAATATTCATGTTGAAGCCTCTGGCCTCTGGTCTCTCTTGGCTGAATCTTCTGCCACTGATGGAATTTTCTTTAACATAGCATATGTTGAAGAAGCCAGAAGATAAGAAGCAGCTGGGTGATTTCTTTGGCATGTCCAATAGTTACGCAGAATGCTATCCAGCCACGTAAGTGAGACCCTAACTAAAGGAGGTTGGGATGACTGGGTGATGAGATGGAAGTTTGACCTGCTGGGAGTTAAGAGTACTTTTTACTTGGGTGAATTCTTCTGTTTAGTTCTGGGATGTTTATCAGGTGGGTTTCTGAGTAAAACATAGTAATATGGATCTAAAGCATCTTTTTAACTCCTCTTTCTCTTTAGGATGGATGACATGGCTGTAGATAGTGATGAAGAGGTAGATTATAGCAAAATGGACCAGGTATGAAGTTAAAAGGGTATTTAATGATGTTGGGGACCTTCGTTCAGCAATTTTTAATTTTTTTTTTTTTTAAATATTCAGTATGTGCCATTCATGAGCATGAGGTCAGAGGACAAACTTGTAGGAGACAGTTCTCCCCTGTAGTGATTGGTTATAAACATGGTTTTGTTGTTTTGTTTTTGAGATAGGATCTTGTAGCCCAGGCTGGACATATAGCTGAGGATGAGTTAAAACTCTTGATCCTCTTGCCTCTACTTCTCTGGTCCTGGGATTTTAGATGACAGGTATGCACTACCATGCCCAAATAAAAACAAGCTTATTTACTTTTCACTGCTGAGGATTGAACCCAGGAACCTGAGTATCTCGGCTAGTAATGTGCCACTGGGTACATCCCAGACTCAGAGAAACTCTTGTCTCCTGATGTCCTAAGGATCAAACTGAGGGCTTCACACATGCCTGAGCAAGTACTTTATTGCTGAGCCACATACCCAAGAACATGGTTTAATCTTGGAGCCTTGTTTAATTTTACTTCTGCCATTTGCATGTTTTGTGGCCTTGCCATATTACTTTCCTGTTTACAAATGCCTTTGTTCCTATATCAGAAAAATAGAAATATAATTCTCACTTTAGAATTTTTGTTAGAATTAAGATATATGTTTAGTGTTCAGAGTAATGTGTACATTGTAAGTACATAGGAAACATTAGGGTAAGGTTTATTACTGGTGGATTATTGTTATCTGGGACTGTGGGTGTCTGGTTTTATTTCAGAAAAAATTCCTTTTCCACTGATATCTCTATCTGCTCTACTACAGGGTAACAAGAAGGGTCCCTTAGGCCGCTGGGACTTTGATACTCAAGAGGAATACAGCGAGTATATGAACAACAAGGAGGCTTTGCCCAAGTGAGTAGATATGGGCAGAGAATGAGGATGTGACATTTTGGAGAACAAGGCCATATTGGGTTAAACCGTTCAGTGTAGTGTACCTGTAGTGTTTCTAGATAGGTTCTTTGCCCACAGAGCCCTTTAAGAAAACCTTCCTCTGCTATGAGAGTTCTAATGCTTTCTCCCACAATGGCCCTTTCCAGGGCTGCATTCCAGTATGGTATCAAGATGTCTGAAGGACGGAAAACCAGACGCTTCAAAGAAACCAATGATAAGGCAGAGCTTGATCGACAGTGGAAGAAAATCAGTGCGGTTAGTGGACTCTTTCTTTCCTTTTTCTTTCTTTTCTGTTGTTTTGTTTTTTCAAGACTGGGTTTCTGTGTGTGGTCTTGGCTGTCCTGGAATTTACTCTGTAGACCAGGCTGTCCTTGAACTTAGGAATCTGCCTGCCTCTGCCTCTTGATTATTTTGATTAAAGGCCTCCTTCACCACCGCCTGGCATAGTGGACTCTTTCTTAGGTGGGGGAGTTTAGTTGAGAAGAGACATTGACAGATCCATGAACAAGCAGGTGGGGCAGCCATGGAAATTGAGAGAGGTCATCTTTGAGCTTTAGGTGGACTTAGATTACTAACAGTATGCTTATAAGCTTCTACTGTCCTTATACAGATCATTGAGAAGAGGAAGAAGATGGAAGCAGATGGGTGAGTTCTGTTCCTCTTTGTCTTTGGTCCTGGTGGGAATCCTATGCTGATCTACTTCTCTTTTGATTTCAGGGTTGAAGTGAAAAGACCAAAGTACTAATCTAGTTCCAGAGTCACCACATGGCTGTTCTTAGTTGCTTGTTTCTACAATTCTTAAAAAAGTTGCAAACTGTTTTTGGTTTATGAATGTTTATAAATGTTTATTGATCAACTCTTTGTAGATCTGTGTCCCAAACGGTAAGATTAATGGCAATGCAACACCATGTCCAGCATATTCCATTAAAAGTTAAACCTGCTGTCTTTTCTGTGTTGGGCATTCCTTCTTATGGGTCCCATGAAGAAGGCTAGTTCCAGTAGTTGTATTGAATGCTAGGTCTCATCTGAGGTGCCTATCAACATATCAAAGCTGACACTGGCTGCCAGGTTCTCCCAGCATACCTCAGTCGATAACTGTTCCAGGATCTTCCTGGTGGCATAACTTACCCTTTACCCTAAACTCCTGGGCTTTCTTTCCCCTGGCTTCTCTGATTCCTATATAACCCATCTATTTTGGTTACACACCCCTTTTGGCCTCTTGGTAGCTGTTCCAGGTAACCCCCTCTATCCCGCCCCCTCCTCACATGGCCTGGTTTAGGATCATGTTCATTTCACCTTTCACATGCCTCTGGCATGCTCTTCCCTCATATCTACACTAAACCTCCACTGTACCTAGGAACAGTCATGTCTTGTCTTGTCTTGTCTTTTTTTCATTCAATCAAACAGTCTTTTGTTTTTCCTATACTGATTCTAGGTTCCTAGACAGTAAGGCTGTTTACTAGGCCAGTTTCCAGGGGAGAAGGGAAGAGTCACTGGTGGGCAAGAGAATTGTCAAGTTGAATGGTCAGACCTACTCAGTCCTATCTGGCCAGGGTCCTAATCCAAGAGTAGAGATTCTCTGGGGATTAAAATCATCCTGATACCTTGTCACAGCTTCATAGGCTTGAGCCCTTAGTAAAGCTGTATTAATGAAAGTCACCTGTGGAAACAAAAACCTTTTATGAATTTATGCCTTTAGGGGAGCATTAGTATTGAATTAAACTCAAGACCTTGGCTAAAAGACTAATGGTTGGTGGGTACCTTGAGGTTAAAACTGGTATATCCTTTTGATCCTTCACCCTGAGGAGTTTGTTGAGGCCTACTAGTCTCCTTTCTGTTCTTTGCCAGCACTTTGGTCTGGGGGTCATTAGGTGTTCATTAGGCTCTCTACTTTTTCTGGCTGAATACTGAGCTCATGATCTGTGGTTTCCTTAGATCCAAAGGAAGCTAGAATGCCACTAAGCTTAGCCCTTGACTTTGGTCATTTTCATCTTGATAGGAAAATTTTTGTTTTGGTGGTGTTGCATATCAAACTCAGCTCTGCATACTAGACAAGCACTCCACCACTAAAGGCCTAGCTGTAGGAAAGTGCTTTTTTTTTTTTTTTTTTTTTAGTGTGTGGCATAGATCTAACTGTATTTATTTTTTAAAGATTTATTTGCTTTGTTTTTTTTTTAAACTTTATTTATTATAAGTACACTGTAGCTGTCTTCAAACACCCCACAAGAGGGCATCAGATCTCATCGCAGATGGTTGTGAGCCACCATGTGGTTGCTGGGATTTGAACTCATGACCTCTGGAAGAGCAGTCAGTGCTCTTAACCACTGAGCCATCTCACCAGCCCCAGGAAAGTGCTTTTTAAGGAACCCCGCTTTGCCAATAATGCTTAAGAGGTTAAAAAATGGGCTATCTTCAACAATACCTAGAAATGGCTTTAAACAAATAATGCATAGGTCCCGTGGTTGTAGGGCACAGTTTTAATTAGGAAAAAGTCACAGAGACATGATTCATATGGACACCTAGAGTCAATAAAATTAAGATCTGAGGGTTGACTATCAATTTAATATTGTTTCTACAAGTACTCATTGTTTTTTGTTTTTGTTTTTCGAGACAGGGTTTCTCTGTATAGCCCTGGCTGTCCTGGAACTCACTCTGTAGACCAGGCTGGCCTTGAACTCCTACAAGTGTTCTTAATGCTCCAATCACTAGACAGATAGAGTATTTCTACTCTTTGAAACCCTTAACCTCACCTCAGGTTCATTTGTTTATTTTCCTTTTCAGTGGGTTCTCACAATATCAAGGTGGCCTAGAATTCTCAAGAGATTCACCTACCTCCCACACCCGCAACTAAGTGTTTGCTACCATGTTCAACTACCCCTCACTTTTTTTTTTTGTTTGTTTGTTTTGTTTTTCGAGACAGGGTTTCTCTATAGCTCGGGCTGTCCTGGAACTCACTCTGTAGACCAGGCTGGCCTCAAACTCAGAAATCCGCCTGCCTCTGCCTCCCAAGTGCTGGGATTAAAGGCGTGTGCCACCACTGCCAGGCTGGGCGTGGCACTCATATCAGGAAAAAAACTGGCTGGGGGCCGGCGGAAGGGGATCCTCTGAAACCACACGTATGCGTTCTGCTGTGCCTTTCTTCCTCAGCACTATTTCTTTTGGCCTTTGTGTTTAAAATGTACTTATACAACAACAACAACTAAAAATTTTAATGAGCTTCATTTAAGAAAATAAGGGGTGGGTGGGTTGTTGAGTCTTAGAGGAAGCAGCACGCAGCGCCCGCTCCAGTCTCATCAGCTGCGGCAGTCCCGCCTCTTCCGACGTCCTTCCAGTGCACTTCCGATCCCGCCTCCTCCCGGAAGCAACTACTTAGGCCACGCCTCTGTCAGTGTAGTTTGTTTCCCAGCGCGCATGGATCCTATGGACCCCACGTGTGAGGAGAGTCCTGCAGAGGACTCCAACAATGAAGAGGAAGACCTTGACTCCACGAAGGCAGCACCCCGGATCCGTGATACCCCTGAAGACATCGTGCTGGAAGCGCCAGCCAGTGGCCTGGCATTCCATCCGACTCGAGACCTGCTGGCAGCAGGGGACGTGGACGGGGACGTGTTCGTGTGAGTGGGGCGTAGGGCGGAGTGTATTAAAGCTCCTCTAGGAGGAGATAGGGGTAGGGAGTGTGGCGGGAAGACGTCTTACGAGACTCAGATGGCCTGAATCGTTAAGTAACATTCGGCAAGTGTGCTTGTGGAGGACTCAGATTGATTCCAGGCATCTTTCCACATCCCTCTCTTTTTTTTCTTCCGAGGTAGGGTGTCTTAGTGAGTCTGGAACTTCACGATCCTGGCTAGTCTTAGCTAGCTAACTTGCCAGAGATCTCGTCTCTGCCCCTTAAGTGCTGGGATTAGAGTTGGCCACTATACCTGCCTAGCTTTTTCATAGGGTTTGGGGATCCCCAAACCTGAGGCAAGCACTTTGTCCACCGAACCATCTCCACAGCCCTCCACCTCTATTTTGTTCCAACTTGTCAACACTGTGACATTAGTCAGAATATACAGTAATTAGCTATGTCTTTCTTTAGCATCACTGGGCCCTGCCTGATTTTTACTCTTTCGACTTCTGGGGCTGGATTTCTGTCAATAGCTATTTTCCTTGAAGACAAGATCTCACTATGGCCCAGAGTACTCTGAAAGGGTTCTTTGGCGTCGGTCTCAGGTTTCTTTTCTTTTTTTTTTTTTTATCCCTTGGTTTTTCCAGATAGGGTTTCTCTTTGTAGCCCTGACTGTTCTAGAACTTGCTCTGTAGACCAGGCTGCTTACTTCCGACTCCCTAGTGCTGGGATTAAAGGCTTGGACCACCACCACTCATCTTGGTCTCAGAATTCTTAAGAATATAGGAACCTACAAATGCACCCAGCTTCCCATTAGTTTATTGAGTATTTCTGGGCCCTTACAGTGGTCCACACCCAGTCTTTCTTTGGGCTCAGGGTTTTGAGAATAGTGAAGAGGAGTGGAGTCTGATGTTGTGTACCTGTAATCCCAGCATCCAGAAGGATGACAAAAGGATTACAAGTCCCAGGCTAAATTGGGTGGTGCACACCTTTAATCCCAGCACTCAAGAGGCAGATGAATCCCTGAGTTTGATGACAGCCTGCTTTACAGAGTGAGTGAGTTCCAGGACAGCCAGGGCTTCATAGAGAAACCCTGTGTCAAAAAGCTTAAAAAAAAAAAAAGGAAAGAAAGAAAGAGAGAAAAAAAAAGTAGGCTGGGAATGTGTGACTCAATTACAAATTACTTACTGGTATATGTGAAGACTTGAGGTTAGTCTCCAGTACTACAGAGAAAGAAAACAGGAAGGTTGGTCTTTGTGCTCCATGAATCAGGTGTGGTATGGGATCCTTCACTCTCACTTCCTTTTCCTCAGCTTTGCCTATTCTTGTCAGGAGGGAGAAACCAAGGAGCTCTGGTCCTCAGGGCACCACCTCAAGTCCTGCCGAGCTGTTGTCTTCTCAGAGGATGGGCAGAGTAAGTACTGGGGAAGGCAGCCAGCATGTGGTAGAGGGTAGGAGACAATGAGCAATAGCATAACCTGGGCCTTTCCCCCCCTAGAACTTGTTACTGTCTCTAAGGACAAAGCAATCCATGTATTAGATGTCGAACAGGGACAATTGGAAAGACGAATTTCCAAGGCTCACAGGTAAGGAAAATCTGTTAGGTATATGTGCACCTAGTGAGGGTTGAGGTCTCACCTTGGTAGTAGAGAGGTCTCTACTACAACACATTCCTATTTTTGTGTTTCCAGTGCTCCCATTAACAGTCTGCTGCTTGTGGATGAGAATGTTCTAGTTACTGGGGATGACACAGGTGGTATCCGACTATGGGACCAGCGTAAAGAGGGCCCTTTGATGGATATGCGGCAGCATGAGGAGTACATTGCTGACATGGCTCTGGACCCAGCCAAGAAGCTGCTGCTCACAGCCAGGTACAACCTGAAACCTAATGGCCTGTTCATTTCTTCCCACTGGACTAGATGGGGATAGGTGCCTGTGCCCTCATGTTATTATAGTCTTCCTAGAATGGAACTAACCATTTCATCTGTTTTTCTTTACAGTGGAGATGGCTGCCTTGGTGTCTTCAACATCAAGAGACGCCGGTTTGAGTTACTCTCAGAGCCTCAGTCAGGAGATCTAACCTCCATCGCCCTCATGAAAGTACAGCTGGGTATTATGGGATGGGGTACATATATCAGGGGGTCTATTGTGAAGTGACTCCACAAACATGGTTTGCTGTTAACCTGCAGTACGGGAAGAAGGTGGCTTGTGGATCTAGTGAAGGTACCATCTACCTCTTCAATTGGAATGGTTTTGGGGCTACAAGTGACCGCTTTGCCCTAAGAGCAGAGTCCATCGACTGCATGGCTCCAGTCACTGAGAATCTGCTGTGCACTGGCTCCACTGATGGAATCATCAGGTAAGGGAAACCGGGAGCAGCCCTCAAGCATAGGAATTATAAACCAAGCTAGGCAGTTCCTGACACTCTTCTCTGCTCAGGGCTGTGAACATCCTGCCTAACCGAGTGGTGGGCACCGTGGGCCAGCACGCGGGGGAGCCTGTGGAGGAGCTAGCCGTATCCCACTGTGGCCACTTTCTGGCCAGTAGTGGCCACGACCAGCGTGTCAAATTTTGGGACATGAATCAGCTTCGAACTGTGGTTGTGGATGACTATCGGCGACGAAAGAAAAAGGGAGGGCCACTTCGTGCCCTGAGCAGTAAAGCTTGGAGCACGGACGACTTCTTTGCAGGGCTGAGAGAAGATGAAGAGGATGCCAAGGCTCAAGAGGAGGTGGTGAGGGAGAGCGATGACGACAGCGACTGAGGACGAGGAAGGAGCTGTCTTCTGGGACAGGTTCCCTAAAGAAGTCTGTTTATGCTATAGACTGGACATAAGCTTAGCTCTATCATCGAGTTACACCTGACTCCCCAAACAGGAGTTTTCCATAGTGTATCATGTAAGAAATGACATGAACTCAGGGCCCTGAAGTGGGAACGAATTTTCTCCCCCTATCATTGTAAAACAAACTATGGCCACTACAGCAAGATAGCACAGACACATGTACACCAACCAGAGTTTTAATATAAATAAAACCAGTATAGAAAAACAAAAACCATATAAGCCCAAACTAGAGACACGTGGTGCGAGGAAGGGCTCTTTGGTTCAGCCAGTTCTCCAAATAAAAACAAAGATTCATAGTAAGCTCTTGTGCGGGTGTGGTGAAAATTTGTCAAGCTGGGAATCGACTAAGGATAGCAGGTCAGAGGTCTAGTCAGACCCTGGGCTCAGTGGGGGAGGGCAAGGTTCCTCACAACTAAAGTAGCACTTAGGTGTGACAGGGTCCTGTCCCAGCAGGGAAAGCTGTCTGTCACCTGGCCTGTCTCCTTGGGATCAAGTAGTGGTGGCCCAGGCCTGCTGGGCTGGGGGTTGGCACAGGCTCTGCTTACCCATTTAGGGTGCCTGTAGAAAAAAAAGAGGTCACTGCTTAACCACAGCACCTGCTTCAGCTCCAGGAGACCATAGGCTGGTCCTAGATTCACTCAGTGTTTCTAGCAGCTGTGCAGACACAGCATCCTTAGCCACCTCATGCCCATCCTGCCAATCAGAGGCCAGCACAACCCAAATGAGGCCACTGAAAGGCACTGGATGCCCAGGGATCACAACCTGGTACCAGAATCGATGCCAGCCGGCAGGCCCTGTTCCTAAACACTTGGTAAGGAACACTGGGCTGCCTAGCTTCATCCGTTGACACAGCAGTTGCAGAGCAGCCCGAGCCCCTTGGGACCCCAGCTTGTCTCTGGTCTGAGCTAGTTGGGTGACATCTGGCCGTAGGAACCGCAGTGAGGGGCCCGCAAGCTGTTGACGGAAGTGCTGCTTCAGGTCTGGCTTGAGCCACTCCACAGCCACCTGCTCTCCACAGAGGAGTGACTGGCCTGCAAAAAAAAGCAGAGACAAGGGCAGAGCTGAACACTGGGACTGGAGACGAGCACTTAAGACCAGGCTTTGAAGTGACTGCTGTCACAGGCTGTTTAATGCCTCTCCACTTCTAGGTGGTGTGACAACTTCCCTAGGCTTCATTTAATTTGTAAAGGAGCAGTAACAACACCTTCTAATAGTCCCTGGGGGATACAGAGCAGTCAGGCTCTATTTGCTTAATAACCATCACAATAGCTACCTTTCTGGTCAATGAAAACTGAAACTAAGATTTAGCATTGTTTATCTCCCACTGAGTTGGAGATGATACTGGTGTGCACTGGCACTTCAGGAATTCACCTTTAATCCCAGCATTAGAGGCACAGGTAGGTAGACCATTGAGTTTGACACCAGCCTAGTTTACAAAGGGAGTCCAGGACAGCCAGGGAGAAAACCTTGTCTCCAAAAACCAAAAACAGTAAGACAAGTAACTTAAATATGGGTAAGTAGAGGCTGTAGCACTATTATATGGTAGCAGTTCAGGAACTCAACTCAGGTCTGACTACAGATTTGGGGATATGTTGATAAGTAGCCAGCCACCTTCCCTCAGCTTCTGCCCCTACCTTCTACCAGGGCCTTTTTGGCCATGGCAGCAGCTCGGTGCGTGCTGAACTTGAGCAGAGCAATCTGAGAGGGCGCAGACCCAGGGCTGGGTAGCAGCAGTGTCTCCTGCAGGCATGGGCCGAGCGGTTGCAAGGCGAGCAGTAACGCACGGCGGTTCAGGCTAAGGGGCAGCCCGTCCACCGTCAGCTCGCACTTCTCGGTGCTTCGGCACACCAGGAGCTGGCAAGAAGGCCGCAGCTGGTGGTTGTGCAGCGTAGCAATGGCGGCCTGGGCACCGCGCCGCGAGCTGTAGCGTGCATAGGCAAAGCCTCGGTTCAAGCCACTGAAGGTCATCATTAGGCGGAACTCATAGAGTCGCCCCACGCGCTGGAAGAGTGGGATCAGCTGGTGCTCGTACACATCCTGTGGTAGTCGTCCAATAAACACCTCGGACCCTGACGGGGGCGGGCTTCCCACCCAGCCTGGAGGGAGAGGATACTGTTGGTTACTGTGGGCCACAATGATGTTTTTAAGCTCCAGGATAAAGCTGGGGTGTGAGGGTCGAGAAGGGAAACCATTTGGAAATATTTTGACACCTTTCTGGCTCCCGTGGTCGTTCCTATAATTGTTAGACCGTGTAAACAACTAGGCTGGCACTGAATGGGCGCACCATCCTTGACGGGAAGAGTGGAAGGGAAGCCAGGTAAATAGCCACATCTAGTAGAGAGTGTGTCAGGTAATTTGGGTTTTCTGACTTTGGAGCCTTTCCATAAAGAGTGGCTGAGGATGGCCTAGTGTCACAGGGGCTGGGGCTACTGTACCTGGGGGTGGCCCGCCATACTTCCTTTGCCCGTTGACCTGCACCAGGCGGATGCCAGTCTCTCTTACCCATGCCTCCAGGGCTGCCTTGTTCTCTGGATTCACACTCTCACACCATTGCTGGGGGAGAGAGGTAGATTGGAATGGCGCATCACCGGCCCTGTTCCACCTCGTTAGAGGTGTTGGGGGGGGTCACTGTAGCCACCCCCCTCTGCAGGCAGAGCCCAAGGATCACTTAGGTCTTCAGTTACTTACCTCACACTCCCGTTTCGACTGCATAGCTCTTCCCAAAGTCTTGCAGTTCCCTCTTTAGAACTTCCTCGGGCTTCTGCCTCTCGAAGATTCCCTGCCTCCACGCCCCCTCAAGTTCTCATTGGCTCTAAGCGCGACCCCGCCTCTCAAGGAGTCATCCTTGCACGTTGCGCACGCCCTTGAGAATCTCGAACCCCCTCTTAGGACCGTGGGTGGGAGGAGCTCCATCACCAGTAAGGGGCGGGGTGGAAGGAGCTCTGGGGGCAGGGTAGACAACTAGGCACAAGAACCTCACTGGCTCACTCTTTAGCAAAACCCAGTAAGTTTGCAAATGTTTCCTTCTTTTTACACCAGTGGTTTGAATGGTTCAGGACCGGAGGAAGGTAGCGCTAGGCAACAGGGACACAGACGGGTGATAGCAGTAAAGACATTTATTGGACTTTTTGGCCGTAGGTTGTTCATGTGCGTGTGGCTTTTCAATGAAGCCATCTCAAGTCCATACAGGAGTTTAGGAGGCAGAGACTTGATAAGTCCACCTATACAGCTTGACCCCCATTTTTTGCCAGTGATTACAGATAATAACGTAATAATAAAAACAAAAAGCCTCTGTTCTGACCACCCTTCAGTCTTCTGCTGGATCAGAAATGTGCAGACTATTTAAGTATATATATATACAGTTTTGTTTTAGTTCAATTAAGACCAATCCTGTTTCCTCTACTAGTTTTCTCAGTTCAGCAGATGGAGAGGGGCTGATTTGTTCTTCTTCTGATCTCCTCCACAAGGTCTTCTCTTCGGACATCCACCTGGCCACAACAGAGGAAGAAGGTATGAGCATCTCGCACTCCTTCTAGTTACCAGGTTTGACTCACTGGGACATGTACCCAGTTAGGCACCAGAGATCTTAAATACCGTGATTATAGTTAAAGCCTAAGCCCTCGGATTCCTTATAAGTTAGTCCTGTATGAGGCTCAGATCTCAAACAGGCCTGGGCCAACCAGGGTCTGAGGCCCTCCTGGGCTTTAGCCTTCCTGCCTGCCTCTTACCTCTTCCCTGCTCGTCACTGAGCGGAGCTTGATGACACCGTCCTTGAGCTCCTGCTCACCAACGATGGCCACCAGTGGGATGCCTGTCTCCTCACAGTACTGCAACTGGTTCAGTAACTTTGGGTTCTTCTTGTACAGCAGCTCAGCCTGCAAATGACCAAGGAAGAAAACAAAGGCTTCTGTTGTTCTCAGAGACAAACTTTGGAGGAGGGGGGAGGATGCGGCATGCACTTTGTTGTTGTTCTTTTTTTTAAGTGTCTTTTATTCTCTAGCTCTGAAAAAGTACTTTTAATTTCTATAAATTACTAAATCCTGTTCGCAATACTTTGATAAGCTATAAAGCTGAATCTCAATGACATAATATATATATGATATTGGTACTAATAAGAATAAAAAGGCTGTTACTAGCATATAAGAACAATTGGGAGAATATAATTGACAAAGCCCCCCCAGTCAAGCACTCCTTTTTAGGCTGTTCTTATTTATTTATACCCTGATCACAGTATCCCCTCCCTCCTCTCTTCCCTATGCCCTACCTCTCCCCTCTACTCCTCTCCTTCTCTTCAGAAAAGGGCAGGCTTCCATGGCTATCAAACAGCCCTGCCATATCACGTTGCAGTAAGACTAGGCACCTCCTCTCCTATTCAGGCTCCATAAGGCAACTCACTAGGAGGAAAGGGCCCCAAAGGAAGGCAACAGAGTCAGAGACAGGCCCTGCTCCCACTGTTCAGAGTCCCACAAGAAGACCAAGCTACATACTGTAATGTATGAGGCACCTTGTTCTTTGCCCCATTCGAAGAAGCAATGGGAAGAAGGCACTATGTAAACTTGTATTAGTTTGTGTCTAGTACTCCCAAGTTTGTAGCCAGCCTAGGGATGGGCCCCTGTACCTTGATCCCAGCATCCCATAACTCTGAGACAAGCTTCAGTCTCTCCTCCAGCAGCTTCTTCTGTGCAGACGCCACAAGCACCTGAGTCTCTGTGGTCCGTACCTTTTCCTCTGAAGCCTAGGGAGGGGCGGGCAAGAGTCAGAGCGGGACTATGCTACCAAGGGACAAACAAAGAGGCTGTCGTTGGGATCCTGAGAGACTAAGTTCAACTCAGTGAGCTCAACTAGGGAAAGGTGGCAGCCTTCTGACCTACTAGTTGGATATGGAACAGTCCAGTTCTTAGAGGTGTAAGAAATGAACTGACTTGTATGACTTGCCAGAATAAATGGTGGATGGAAAGCCTGGCATGATATGACGTACATCTGTAACTGCAGTGCTTGGGAGGCGGAGACGGAAGGATCAGGCCGTTAAGGCTAGCCTTGAATATATGAATTTAAGCTTAGTATGTCTCAAAAACAAAACAAAATAAAACAAACAACCACACAACAAAACAGAAAGAAAATCCAAGAAAACAAATAATGGGACTGGAGAGGTGGCTCAGCAGTTAAGAGCACTGACTGCTTCCCACACGGCAGCTCATAGCCATCTGTAATTCTGGTCTGAGGGGGCTGATGCCCTCTTCTGGCCTCTGTGAGGACCAGGCACAGATGCACATGTAGGCATAACACTTATATACATAAAA